GGGTTTTGTTCGGGGACCCTGACCCTAGCTTCTGACTCAAAAGTCTGACCCACGAGGCAGTGGGAGAATGTAGGGTTTTCTTTGGGGACCCTGCCCGGAGCCGATGACTCAATAGTCTGACCTGCTCGGCTGCAGGGGGTTGGCCTAACCCGAGGGCGCAGGGAATAAGGCATTACTGTCTCATTCCTGATGCGGCTGCGCACAGCAGGTGCCTTTTGAGCAGCACCGGGCTCTTTGGTTTTAGAAGTATTTCGACCGTATCGGATAATGCGCCGGCGGTCACGGTCAACCGTTGGGCGATCGGAGTGTGCGGTTTTTGGGGCCGACCTTTTCTAACCCGTCCTTCCTCGGGGAAGGCAGCATCGCTGCTTCCATAAATATGGACATGCTGGTCGCCTGGGGGAAACACCTTACTGCCTTCACACTCCTGTCGCAGAGGACAGTACGACTTTACCCCCAGACCGCCTCGTAGCACGATTACTCGTAGTACGGAGTCTCGCTGCTCTTGGTCTGGCTGCTCCCCTTTGGCCTTCCTGGCATGGTTGCACCTTGTGGAACGAAGTTCCAGCCAGTGTAGCCCGCGGGATCATTGCAGCACTGAAACCCGACCACCACGTCAAGGTGGCAGCTTTAGGTCGAGGGGGTCTCGACTGCTTGTATCTAGGCTTAGGCAACTTGACAGTATCACAGCCCTCATGGTTCTCTCGGTTGACACAACCGCTAGGTACCGAAGAGGTGTTAGAGCTGGACGATTATTATACTTATCATTAGTGGATCGGTATCCTGACAATCAATCTATTCAGGTGAATACAGGACCTGGAATCCTGCTCTCACGAATACGTAGTCACTCATTAAGCACCATGGTCATTAATTAGCAAGGCCTGACAATTGTGGGGCCACTGACAACAGCCTGAGTTGTTAAAGGCACGCTCAATACCTCAAAACGGTCTGGAGCTAATTAAGACCTATGCTCACACCACAACAGCTTCCAAAAATCTTACAGATTATTGCGGTCTAGTTGTTCGCCGTACACATCCAGACATTTAACTGACCATTTGGCTAACAAACAGACTATGTGCATGCCAAGCGAGGAGGCAGAACAATTCGAAGGAACGGAAGTGGTTGGAATGACAGATGGAAGTAGGGAGAAGGAGAGATAGGAAGCGGAGAAGGACCGGGTGACTTAATGATTGACATCAGTGCAGACGTTGGGAAGAAAAAAAGTAAATTTATGTAGCACCATAGAGCACACTGAATTCCGTTATTCCATAGGTTCGCTATCAAAATCCACTTACGATTAAGAAAGTCCACAACATCAATGTCGTCCAAAGTACCATCTAGCTGAGCTGCCAAAGGATGATGTGAATGCAGTCCAGGTAGCCTTGGTTGGATTCGTTTCATTATGCGTTTTTCCATCGCCAGGCGAAGTGGGGCGTGCAAACCCTCTGTGGCTGCGAGTGATTTCATACGCTGTTCTTCACCGATACCTTTCGCGATGGCCTCGGCCACGGGGTGAGGATAGTCGACAGCATTTAAATTGGATGATAGGGTAGCAGCCTGTCCACTTGTCCAGGGTGTAGGATGTATTGGATCACCAAGTCTGTGAAAGTAACCAAATGTAACGTAGGGCACTCATACGCAGAATACCTATCAAAATACGGATTGGAAGATAGTCGACGAGGACGAAGGGAGAAAACAATCAGTTCATAAAAGGGTAGAGAAATTCGGGTCGAACTTAAGGCACTCGTTTGTGTTTGCACCAAATCACGTTAAGAAAGCTTTATGCATATTCGACCGTGGGTGTGATTGGCCTTGCTTAACTGCCCAGGTTATAGAAACTGATAACATGACATTAGAACAAAATAATCGGGGCATTCAACTGTTCACTAGTAGGCACGGTCGACTTGTCATCCGATGTATGTCTTCGCGTTCTTGGTGTAACACCGTTGGTGAAGCAAATAATGTCGCCGTACGTCCACAGGCACTTGTAAAAATTCGCACAACTTTTAGACTTTCGTTGAACGGAAGTCAAAGATATAATGGACTGCAGGCAGTACGAGTGATTTTAGGCAAATCTAACGAGAAAAAGAGCGGATAGGATCTGTTTTTAGGATGACATTGTGCAACATCAGGTAAGTTATCTTGCAGTTGTCCTTCAGTCACATTCGAAATTAGTCAATCTGTTATGTTTCTGGTCGAAACATTGAGATATCTCACAGATTGTGCTGCACTTTAGGGAAATGCACCTATCTGGGACAACAACTAGCGTCAACCTACTCACGTCTTCATTAGACTCAGAGATCACGTTCCAGAGATCAAGCTCCACACAGGAAGATAAAGATCATGATAGAAATCGAAATTTCTGAATAAATAGAGTGATTCCCGATGCTTGGTTGATAAATTGGAACACCGAGTTATCCCCGAGAAAAAAGGGTGTCGCTCATTACCCAACGTTGCGGTTCCCACAAGGTTTTGGGGCACAGTAAAGTAAGATTGCTACTATACGATAAACGTAGGAATAATTCGCACTGCGAGAATGTATTGCAGAAAAAATATCATCCGTCTGCTCAACTCAGGAGGAAAACACTGAGTTCACTGGACTTCTTCAGGCTGTTACACTATAAGTGTGTTTTCTTACACTGTGTAGATTGGAATTATGGACGTCAACGACGCAGCAGAAAGCTGTCAACAATTTTACCCCGGATTATCACGAGCCAAAAACTTTGAATTTTAGGTTAACTGCAGAAGGAAAGCAAGAAATAAAATAAGGCTGAGAAGAAAAATACACTACTGATCCAGAAGAAACGTCTAGTTTTGTCAATCGAGACTAGGCACTTGGAGATATGGGACAGGTTTCAGCGTCCGTAAAAACCACAGCAGAATATGGGAATGAGCCAAAGTACTCCGCAAATTCCACGCGGTTTGGAAGGGACAAAGAAACAAACCGTAACAGATGATTTGCTTGGAGGAATACTTCTATGTACGCAAGACTCATCCGTATAAACATTGCATTTTTGCTGTGGTGCACCAGGCCTTCCGACCAGTTTGTGCACTCGTTATATGCTACTCCATTCGATACGAGTAGTCAGGAATCTGGAGATAAATGCAATAACCAACTCACTGGCTAGACCTTCAGGCACAATAGAGTCAATGGAACTGTTGGTGCTCAACGCCTCAGCTTTTCGACATACAGCCCTATGAATAGGTCGCCATGTTTGTCGACTTTTATGATGGATATAGAGCCGACCGAATAGAGCATTAAATTAGTGGTAATGTCGGTTACAAGTTCTTTCAGCTTGGCATGGGTGATTAAATCCTAGGATCGATGGGCTGCGGAGACTTATCAATTTGGACCTTGGTCTTCCCGTTCAGGATACTTCACTTCGAAACTCCTCTTGAGTGTGATCTACAATTCTGTGGGATCGTGTGGGTCAGTAAGAGCTATGACGTTTTGGTTAGGGAATAAGTCTACGAAGATTTTTGGTCGTTTTGGGATATGTAGCTTAGATCCGAGCGACTATATTGTTGATTCCTATTCACTGATAATCGCACATAGTCATGCGCAAACTAGGCTGATTTCACAAAAGCTATTTAAAGAAATCAGGTTTGTGATCCCGAAAGCGACTTTGTGTAACGAGGGACTAGCATATGGCAACTTGACCAGAGACATGTCATCACGGGCGTTTCCGTTTGGCCTTCAGTGGCGATTCGACAAATTCACTCCTGTAGACGTCCCCTTGGAGAGTGCACTTTGACATGCAAATGACAGCGGACATCATCATTTCGCCTGACAAGATTTAATAGTCACGCCCACGCACTACAGAAACTGATTGTGTTTAGTTCGTAATGAAGTTACTATAGTGCCGTAAGCATTGGCCTGAAAAAGGACACAAGAAGGACTCTCGTGTCGAGTTATAAGTCCTATAAGATGAACAGGCATTGACTAACTCGAAAACTGCGAGAGAAATAGAAAAAGACCGGTAGGAAATACAAAAAATTACTCTCCTGCCCTCAATGGCGACCGTGAAGCGTAATAGATAAGCGGTGGATCAGGAGAGAGAAGACGCACCATCAAGATAGTTCAGGTGTTAAGTAGTAAGCACCAGGCCGAAGTGTACACTACCAAAATCCACCGCCCAAATAAGACTAAGTAGCATGCCAGCCTTCAAAAAGAAAAGTAAAAGCGATGGAAATCAAAGGATTGCATCTAGCAGAGAAGCACTGATAACCTGCCCGGAAGAGATTGCTTATGGAAGGGAGAGTCAGGAGTGCGTAGTTAGAGACGTCTTCTCACTTCCAAAAACTGTATGAGAATGCCGCGTGAGAAGCACTGCGGCAACAACCTGATATCTGTAGCCGTAACCAAGAAACCCAGCCACAATGGCTGAGGTGGAGCAAATTAGTGTTTGGCGACACTAAACGACAGCTTTGTCATTCGCAGAAGATATATATGCAACCAAGTTACTGCCTTTAGTGTAAAGAAACCGACTTCGACCTTCCCACCAATAACAATGCTCACAAACATCTGAAATCCACCCCTTCTCCCCAATTACACAGGCTACTGTAAGCCTAAACTACTCACCATACCATGGGTGAACCAAATTAACACTGATTAAACCTTCGTGCAGGTACCGCAATAGAGTGGTCTCAAATAAGAGGTAATCCCATCGACAGGAATCCTAATTTTATCCTACATGATTCAAGAAGGTGTGGACTGCAAACGAAAGAAGTGGAGCGGAGATACGCAGCGTACCCAGTATACAAACACGGTCGCACACCAAATTCCGCACGGATATCCCGATCACGAAGATCCATCTAAAATAGAGAAGACAGCTACAGAAATTCGGAAATATAGGAAGACGGTAGACCATACCTCTGAGTGTTAACGAAAATGAACAGCATGGGCCCAGTATATTTTGAAATAGCCGACTGGGCATTTTGAATGGGGAGAAACAAAGCAAATGCCTCTAGCATCAAGGACCGTTCCAGCCTATTTGGTAAGAGTAATCCTGAGATTCTTAGTTTTTTTTCAACCCTCAACAGCCCAGACTTCTGGGATAGTTGAACCAACTAGCAGGCAATACCCACACCCGTCCGACTGCCTACTGATTCTAAATTCCTGATCAATGAACGAATCCTAGAAACAAATCGGAATTTCCACAGGCTTCGAAAGTATAACGAGCATACTCTTGAGGCACTGCCAAACCGTTTAACTCGAGCAACACCCATCAGGATATGATAGTGCTTAACCATGGTGTGATGCTTCATGTACCTCGTGACCAACGTGACTATGCTGTTAGTGCGGAACTCGCAGTTTTCCATATCAGGTTGGTCGATGGATAGAGAACTGATCAACACCGTCTTCTGATCCTTCAAGCTGGGGATTGTAACTAGTCATTTTCTTAATATAATGCACTGTCATTTCCTGTCAAACATTGTGGCTTCCCTCTCAGGCTTTCAGGCAGAAGTCTTTGGCTGAAGACCATCATGTCTAGGTTTGAAGCTTACAATCAAAAACGGTGTCACGCCCCATCAGCCATCGCCCGACGTCATCAGCCCGATCCCCCTACTTGTCACATACAGCAGGGTGGGTAGCCAAAAGCGAAATACTACTGAAGCCCGTCTTCTTTTTCTTTCACAAACGTCTCCCTCTCCCAACCTTAATAATACTCTTTTTGTAAGTCCATCCACTAGGAGTAATGGCCCCATTCGTCATGTACCAGACCTGGCCGCAACATCTGCGGGTCAGCCGGTGCCGACAGCTCCATGCATCTCGAAATCGATCTTTAAGCGCCCAGTTTATCTGCTTTCTAATAATGTTCGCATTCGGAAGTAATTAGGACAGCATGGTGTTCTTGTTCGCTTAGTGACTGCCCCTTTAATCTTCACCCGCTTCCAGTTGCGCACCTCTGGCGATCCAGGCATCAGTACGTTTCTACGCCACCCGGTGGAAAGGTCCCTGCCGCTGACAGTCACCTCTGAGTGGTTTGATTGACAAGTGCGGTGGAATCTCACAAGGGAAAAGTTGCTTGTTGTGTCGTTTAACGCACGTGAATACGCCTCTTCAGACGGTGGTTATGACAGCATCAAGGGTGGTTCTTACATGTTGAATGCTTGCTACACCAGGATAAAAACTCAGATAGTGTTGCGGCTGTTAGAGGTTTAATTGCATAACTGGAGAAAAGTTGCGTAACTGAGGCACAGTCAATTTGGATTGAAGAAAGGTTACACACTACTTGAGCTGTATCCGACTGCACTGTTTTTATACAGAACTAAATTTCAGAGCAATCAAAATCATCTGGCCACATGCCGCCCTTCAACAGCGAGTCGATCACGGACCCAAATGGATAACACCACTATCAGTCCCCGATGGTATGGACCAATAACTGGCTGCCACTCCTTTTTGGACACTTGAGTGGATCTTACATTCGTCTGTGCTTGGCTGGAGACGTTGCAAGAAATGGCGGCTAATCGATGTCAGTGGCGTCATTTTCTTTCAAGATTGTCTGACTGAGCGGTTGGAGGAGTAGGCACCTCAGAATGATATATATGACTGGACGAACCTTATGGTTGTACGGTAGTGAAGGAGCAATGCCAACGCTTATTTTGCTGTCGTCGATGATGATTATGGTGATAATGATGAAAACTCTGTGATAGGTTCGACTTAGAAAACTCATTATTGGACACCTTTCAGAGCACTTGACCTTGAACGTTCATCTGAAGGTTTGGTGTTAACCGGAGGCAACTGTCTTGCGAGATGGCTCAAGTGGTTAGAGCACGAATTTACTGACCAGAAGGTCCATGGTTCGACCTCTGCCTCTCGACTCTCCCTGTCTAGGCTTAGGCAACCTCACAGCATCCCAGCCCTCGTGCTTCTCTAGGGTGGCATGGCAGCTAGGCACCGAAGGATGAGACAGCTGAAGTTTTTTTGCAAAAATATTAAGCGATGTATTGCACAAGGATCGGAGCGACATTCAAGGTGTCGAGACACTTTCCCTGACTGCAAGACTTATAAAGTTTAGAACTCCTAGGGTTCACTAGGTATGCCCAATTCCCCGATTTCAGGAAGTTCTGCTTAATACTTAGATATTAAATCATCGTTTCGCAAACGTAGATAGTATTAGCTCGAGGTCCAAACGAAGCCCTTAATTATAGCATTTATCGATCAAGTGTGTGGCGCATAAGCCACCGTATGATTCGTCAATAATCCACATACTGAATTTTCCTCAAATGATACGATACTACCGTCAATATATTATAAACAAGGGACTCAATTGAGCTTCACCTCAACAGTAACCTAATTTTCCAATAGGCGATTAACTTCGCATTTGTTCCATTTGGTATTCTAGTGACAAATACGATTGATGTATATTCGGGGACCAGATAAACTTTATCACCATCATCACTGTCAGCTGTAAGAACCGCGAACTTGTCGTACGATTGTTGTAGCTCCCAAGGTTTCGTTCATCGATGATTTGGGAAGGTGGGGTAAGTAACTCCACATTGGAAGCGGGATCTGATGAACTGGTACATAAATACAGGACTGTCAGCAGACGTTTAATTGGGGGGTTGGAAAGGGAGCTATGCACTGAAGGAAATAGCTTAGATGCAGGAGCTCCACTTAGAGAGCGACCGAGCCATGTCTGATAACTTCTCTAACCATTGATGTATACTGTTTCTGGGTCCCCATCCAGAGAGTTTGCTGGTTATGGCTTTTATACTTCGCTACCAAGTAACTGTTTGATCCCCTCTGTCTAGTTTCCACCCTTCACGTGGTTGTGCGAAAAGAACCCTACGAGGAAGTCGGTAGACTGGCATACGCAGCACGTAGTCAGGCCAGCGCAACCTTCGGAGTGTGACCACTTCATCTATCGTGGGTAAGTGATTTCCGAAAATCATTCGACGTACTTCCATATTATTGATCCGGTGTTCACATCTGACCTGGGCAGTGCTCGGGAGACATCGATGGTCAGCACTGAAATAATTTTGATGTCCTTATTGCACAGTGGCCATGTTTCTAATCCGTATAATAAAATGGACGTACAACAACATCGCAAACTCGACTCTTGACGGATAAGTCGATGTCACGTCTATATCACAAGTGACGCAGGTTCACAAAAGGTGCTCTGGCCTTCCTAAGCCGAATAGGGATATCATCTCTGGCTAGACTGCCGGGACTGATACAGCTCCCCAGGTGGGCAAATTAGCATACTACCTCAATCACCTCATCCGCCGACATGAGATTAGGGTTCGAACCCGTTCGGTCGTGCAGCAGCCCTTTACAATTTGCGGGTGTGGAACGAATGCCAAACCGTGAGGCGGAATTATTTAGATTATTTAATATTGTTTGCATTACCCCGGGGTCAGATCCAAGAACAGCTATGTCGTCTGCGTACTCGACATCTGTGAGAGAATGACCTGGGAACACTTCGACCCCACAGGCATTAAAGGCTGGTAGTGACTCTCCCATAATCGTATCAATGGCGAAGTTGAAATGTGAATGTGAAAGAGGACACCCTTAACTGATACCACTTGATGTGGCGAACTCGTAGGCTTATACACATCCACGAGAGATGGCGTACAGCGCCCTAAGGAGGGTCGAGAATTTGTGGGGAACACTTTTGCTCCACAGACATTGCCATAGTGCCTGACGGTCCACAGAATCAAAGGCAGATTTCACATCAAGAAACACACCCAATGTTGGTTGCTGGGAGTAGTGTCGCTGTTCCGAAATCTGTCGGAGAGTGAAAATGTGATTGATGCATCCTCTTGTGGGATGGAAACCAGCTTTTAACGGATCTGTCTCCATCTGTCAACCTTCCAAGGATAATACCAGAAAGCACCACAGCTACCATGCTAATGCCACGGTGGTATTCACACAGCGCCCATGTATCCTTTTTTAGGATAGGAATGTCGACATGCCACGTTCTGCAGGCAACCTCTCTTCACTCTAAGATGCCAAGATGGTCTTCGCATGACGTTCATGCGCCGTTTTTGAAAACTGAGATGACGGTCGAGGAGCTCCACTCAACTGCTCTTTTGTTATCGTCCGAAATTTTCCGCATTATGGCCGTCATACAGTTCACCAGGAGCTGACCACCTTTTTAGAAAAAAGTGGAGTTCAGACCACCCATGCCAGGAGTCTTGTCGCCTGAACGAGTGACATTTCACAAGCTGGATATCTGTTATTGACGACGGGCTGGTCTCAGCCATACAACAAAACAGCCCGTGGTGCATCCTGATACACACGTTCCTTTGAGGTTCAAGGCCATACCGCTTTGCCGCAATAGGTGTCTCAAGGTGGTAAACACAAACCGAGCCTAGCAGATTCGTGTACCGACCTCATCTGTCACACTACAATCGGAAGAAATACAACTTCCAAGAGGCGTAAAACGATTCACAACTTCAAGCGCCTTCCCCTGGATTGTGAGTGGCGTGTTTGGTGACTGCATTGTCAGAAGCATAACCTTACACTTTGTGGGTGTAAAGTGAATACTTTGGTCAAAAAACACCTACGGCTTCTCCGCTTCGAAGGCGAGAGCGATGTCGTCTGCATAGTCCAGATCGACAAGGCTATCGCCAGAGGCTGTTTGAACACCGGGGTTTTGGAGGCCTTTCAGCGTTTGTCTCAGTATCTCATCGATCACGATATTGAACAGGAATGGAGAGAGTGGGCATCCCTGAAGGACACTGTTTTGTGTACAGAGTCCTCTGGAGAGCTGTCCTTATAATATCACAAACCCGGAAGTCCGAGACAGCTATATGCACTCGGTATTTCTTCTGCTGAGGTTACGGTAGAGTAGAACCACCTAACC